CTTGGTAGAGGGGATTTAGACATTAAACCCTTGTCATGGACAGATCATTCTCTTCTTCGCTTGGACTTTCCCGCCATTTCCCCCCACCGCAGGGAGACGGAACCGATTAAATGGTTCCGTCCCAGGCGCCTGATGGATCCCGAAAGGTTCCTGACAGAGCTTGGGCCATTTCCTGAGACCCTGGCACATGACTCGACTGAAAACCTGGTGGCCGCCTGGGAGAGGGTGGCTGCCGGGGCTTTGGACCGTGTCGTGCCTTTGCGGCCTCTGACCCGATGCCGACCTCAATTGGCTCCTTGGTCCTCTGAGGAGCTGAGAGACATGAAGCATCGGAAAAGACGCCTAGAGAGCATTTGGAGGACTAGTCAATCCGATTCCGACCAGACACTGGTGAGATCTTATATCAAGACCTACCTAGTGGTGATAAAAGTGGCAAAATCTAACTATTTCTCTTATCGCATCTGCAGAGAACCGCCTAGCCACCTTGTTTAGGGTGACCCACTCCCTTCTTCGGGGGGGGGAGTGTGGGAAGATCCCTTGCAGGGTCGAGCTGAGGATTTTGTGCAATTCCTGCATGATAAAGTCGCTTGGATTCAGGAAGGCTTCGACTCCGACTGGGTGAGTCCAGGGGAGGAGACGAGGGTAGGTCTTGAGAATATTATCTGGGAGGAGTTTGATCCTGTGGCTCCCGAGGATGTGGACAGGGTTCTGGGTAGGATTAGTGCCGCCACATGTTTATGGACCCGTGTCCCTCCTGGTTGGTACTGGCCTCCCGGGAGGTTACACGAGGCTGTCTCCAGGGGTTATAAGTGCTTCTCTGAGTGAGGGTGCCTTTCCCACTGCCTTGAAAGAGGCAGTGGTGAGGCCCCTCCTCAAGAAGCCTTCCCTGGGCCCGGCTGAATTAGCCAACTACCGTCCAGTCTCCAACCTTCGTTTTGTGGTGAAGGTTGTTGAGAGTGTGGTGGCACGACAACTGCCCGGGCACCTGGATGAAGCTATCTATCTGGACCCATAAAAGTTGGGCTTCAGGCAGGGGTACAGCACAGAAATGGCATTGGTCGCATTGGTGGATGATCTCTGGAGGATTCGAGACAGGGGTTGCTCCTCTGTCCTGGTCCTGTTAGATCTCTCAGTGGCTTTTGATACCATTGACCATGGTATCATGCTGCAGCGGTTGAGGGGGTTAGGAATAAGGGGAACAGCTTTGCGGTGATTCTCCTCCTTCCTCTCCGACTGCTCACAGTTCGTGTTGACAGGGGGACAGAGGTCGACTTCAAGGCGCCTTGCATGGGGAGTGCCACAGGGATTGGTCCTCTCGCCCCTTCTGTTCAACATTTATGTGAAGCCACTGGGTGAGATCATCCGTGGTTTTGGGGTGAGAGTCCATCTGTACGCTGATAATACTCAGCTGTACATCTCCACCCCAGATCACCCGAACGATGCCCTTGATGTGATGTCTTGCTGCCTGGAGGCCGTGCGGGTCTGGATGGGGAGAAATAGGCTCAGACTCAATCCCTCCAAGACTGAGTGGCTGTGGTTCCCGGCGTCGCGATATAGTCATCTGGTGCCATCGCTGACTATTGGGGGTGAGTCTTTACCCCCCACAGAGAGGGCCCGCAATCTGGGCGTCCTCCTGGATGCACGGCTGTCTTTAGAAGAACATATGACGGCCGTGGCCAGGGGGGCTTTTTATCAGGTTCGCCTGATCTGCCAGTTGCAGCCCTTTCTGGACCGCGATACCTTGCGCACAGTCACTCATGCCCTTGTCACCTCCCGACTGGACTACTGCAATGCTCTCTACATGGGGCTCCCCTTGAAAAGCACCCGGAGGCTCCAACTGGTCCAGAATGTGGCCGTGCAGGTGGTTATGGGCGCAACTCATTGCGCCCACGTGACACCCCTCCTGCACGAGCTGCACTGGCTCCCAGTGGTCTTCCGGGTGTGATTACCACCTTTAAAGCACTCCATGGCATTGGACCTGTATACCTTCGAGACCATCTTCTACCACCAGTAGCCTCCCACTGGCCAGTTCGCTCCCACAGAGAGGGTCTCCTCAGGGTGCCATTGGCCAAATTATGTCGGCTGGTGACACCCAGGGGGAGGGCCTTCTCTGTGGGAGCCCCTGCCCTTTGGAATGATCTGCCCCCAGAAATTCGTAAAATCTGATCTCCGTGTGTTTCGCTGTGCCCTCAAAACCATGTTGTTCCACCAGGCTGGGCTATCAATGTAAAGATTTTAATTGGTTTTAAATGGGATTTTAAATTTGGGGTTTTATAAATTGGGCCTATTATTTAATATTTTAATTATTTTTAAATTTTGTCTGTCTTTGTGTTTTTAATTAGGCTGTACACTGCCCTGAGTCCTTCGGGAGAAGGGCGGTATAGAAATAAAATTAATAAAAATAAATTAATTAATAAATATTTGTTTTGTTCTAAGCTGCTTGGTCTTGACTTGTAAAGGAGGTGGATAATAATAAAGCTTTGAGTTGGACTGGATTGGACAAACATTTGTACTGGATATTATCTAGAAATAAAAAAGAGACTATATGGACTAAAATTTTAATTAAATATAAATGGAAATACTAATAATTTTTTAAACTAATAATATGGAGGCTTGGATGTGTGAGGAATTAATTGAGATGCTTAAAAAGGTGCGTGAAACAATAAAGGGCAATAAAAAGTCAGAAACTTTGTTAGAGTACACAAAACAGGAAAAAGAGAATATAAATGAGAAGCAAGAATATGATATTGAAGGAAAAAGAATTGAAGGCACAATGTTAGATGATTACACTGGGATTTACAGTGGCAAAAAAAGAATGGACAGGGGAGAATATTTCCCCCCCCACAAAAAAAAGCAATCTAAGGGAAGAGAAGGAAATGGGAAAAGATTGCCTAACAGCAGGATCCGAATTATGCGAGTGATGGACTCAAAAGAAAGGATTCAGGAGAAAAGATATAATAAATATAAAAATAAAAAAAGAAGATAAGAAAATGGGATGAAAGGAGAAAATAATTAAGAAGTGGAATTCTGGTGAGACCAGAAGAAAATGGCTAAAAGGGGAAGAATAGTGGAAAGGAGGAAGGGAATTAAGATATATATTAGTAGATCTAAGGGAACTGTATTAATAATAGTAATTGTGGATGTAAAAAGTAAATATGTTGATGTTTATTGTGTATTGTAAAATGGAACAGCAGATGAAATATGAAGTGGTAATTAGGTTTAATTATGAAAATGATTGAAATTAAGATACAAATTGAAATGTAAAAAAAGTGTGATGGGGATTTTGAAATAATATGTTGCAAATGAGGAAATAAAATAATTAATGGATACTATAATAGAAGTCAGGCATTAAAGGTGGAGAGTGATATTGCTTATTATGTATTAAGAAGAGATAAAATGAGATGTGGAAGATCAATTAAGCTAAAAGGTTTCAATGTAAGAATTGAATAAGATGAAGTTTATTGTTTATAACCAAAAAATGTGATGGGGTTATAAGAAATATATTTTATAAATGGAGAATAAGATAATTAATTGAAACAATGCTAAGAAATTAGCAATGCTAATATATAACTGTTTATATATTAATTATTAAGAAGACAGTAAGATAAGATTTTAAAAATAGAGAAAAAAGAATATTATGGCAGAAAATGAAATATGTAAATTGTATCTGGAAAAAACAAAAAAGAAGATTGGAATAGATTATAAAAATCAATATATAATTATGTTGTAAATTGTAAAAGTTGTGACCCGGTCAATATTCTGTTCATAAAATATGTATGTAAAAGAAAAATTTAATAAAACTTGTCTTAAAAAATAACAAAAACTGAAGATCAGAAATGTTCTGTTCAGTTGGATATCTATACATGTACTTATTAGGTTATATTCCACAGAGTTAATTAGGAGATTCTCAGCAGCAGAATTTTCCCATACTGATATGCTCTTATCTTTTCTAAATGGCTCATTCAGCACTTATTTCACCTTCTATGAACTTATTCAAAAACCTTTTTTAAAAAGAAAGAAATTGGATGGAAACCTGTGGATAAAATAGACCTATTTAATTTGGAGGTTGAATCATTGGTAGCACTATGCAAAAGAATCCTAAAACTTGTAAAAGATAGGAGGGGTAGGGAGGAAAGGTAGAACATAACATTAGTGAGTGCAAATGAGATGAGATTACTGTGAAAATTTGGCTGAAATATCAGAAATTATGGCTTTTAGGTTCTATTCTATTACAAATAATCAGACTGGTGTAGATACCATCTCATCACAATTAAGTATTAATGTTTCATTAATTACCTAGTTTTCAGTAGATCATGTCCAGTATTATTAAATAATTTACATTATCTACACCTTTCAATTATGTGAAAGAATTTCTCCCTTCACTTTAAAAGGTCTTTGATTATTCTTTTTGAGCAGAAATATTCACATGTAGAAAAGCACAAATGAGGATGTTTATCCTATATATTTGTATACTGTATGGCCATGATTGCTTTATTACATAATGAAAAATAATTTCCTTCCTTCCTTCCTTCCTTCCTTCCTTCCTTCCTTCCTTCCTTCCTTCCTTCTTCTCCCTCCCTCCCTTCCTCCCTCCCTTCCTTCTTTCCTATTTTTAAATCAGCTTTGCCAGTATGAAAGGCATTAAACAATCTCTAAAGAAACTATCTTTTATTTTTTGTATTTGTTTAGTCAAATTATTTCACATTCTTTTTCCTATATTATAAGACAATTCTTAACTTGGAAGTTGAAAACCCTTCTGATATCTTTCCAGTGCACTGGATTAGAGAATGTTGCTGGGTGATTTAACCATTGGCATAAACACCAAAATATTTAACTTAGCTGGATTTTGATCAATATCTTTTATGTGCCTGCATGAGCTTATCTAAATGGTTCTTTGTATCTTCAGATGCTATAACTCAGAAATTAATTGTACCAGTTCTGAAGGACAGCAGCATCAAGATGAACAGAGATAGATACAGATAGGGGTGGGTTCCACTTACCTTTACTACTAGTTCGCAGTGGGATCGTGCCTGTGCGCTCTTCTGTTCATGAGCAGAAGCTTCTGCGCATGCACAGATCACCAATTATGATGTCATGCCAAGTGGGCGGAGCTTCCCACCGGTTTTACTGCCAGTTCTATAAAACCGGACAGAACCGGTAGCAACCCACCACTGATACAGATAGATTTACAGAAGATTAATAAAGTAGAATTGAAAGAAATGTCCAGCTTTCTTCGGTTGAGATTGTTCATTACTGCAGTTCAACTTTTCTGCTTTATAATTTAACTGAGGATGCAGCTGACAAAGAATATTCTGTATCTGGCAGATGTACTTTCTAAAAAATCATGATATTTTTCACTGTAATTATTTCCCAGTATAAACGTTTCAGCACCGGAAAAAGGAAAGGCAAAAATCCCTGGGATACATTGGAAATTCTCTCAATCTAGAACCCTTCTTACCCCCCAAAACATATCTCTAAGCAATTACTGAGTTACACCAACCTTGGAGCTGACATGGATTAAATTTTCCCATTGCTGCAAGGAAAGCACAAAATAAAACAAAATAGCCAGGAGATACTTTCTTCCCTTTTCCACTGGGTCCAAAAGAGCCTGAGAATCATTAGAGGCTCTGATATCAGATCTCCGAAACAAAATAATATTGCTCTGTAAGACATTTTGCTTCTTTTTTAAGAACTCACATTGGCCCTGCTCCTTGATATACCTTCCAGGAATCGCAATTTCTCCATAAAATGATTATACTGTATCTTAACCATATTTCTACTCAATCCAAATCATGACTTTTATATAGACAACTATAAATATCGTACCTATAGTAAACATCAACATCTGTATAGGAGGTTTATTATATTGCTTTAAAATACTGCTTCTTTTTCCTTCAGCAAAAACTGCTTTGTCTTCTAACAAATCAATACAGAGTAGAGCAACAGTTGTTATACTTTATTAAACACAACTAGAACATCTACTGCTGTTCTATGAGGCTAATATGAGAAATTTTCTTCAATCCAAGCTGAGAAAGTGCAATCTTTTTACCACTTGAATTAAAAAAGAAATGAGGGGAGTGGTAAGTGATTATTACATACACATTACTATGTAGATAATACTATGTACACAATAGTCCTTACAAAACCAAGACATTTAAATTAAAATAAGAGTAGAAGTGGGAAAGCAATTCATGTCCCCAAAGGCACAGCATGATTATTTGCTGTGGGAAGCCTTCCCATAGTCACAAAAGTTTCCATGTTTGCTGGAACCTACCACAATCTACACTGCAGACAATTACACTGCATCCATGGAGACTGGCTCTATAGTAACGTCAGCAGCAAACCCTGGAGTGTAGTGTGCGTGTCTCATTGTGTTTTGTGTGTTCAAATATACATGGGAATATATTTCCTGGTGAGGATTCAAGTAATTCAAGAATCCAGAGTGAAATCTGAAGAAGTGCATTTTTAAAAATATGTAGAAAATTTGGAATTTTGGAAACATCTGTTGATGTATTTTGTCTTTTCAGGGGCAAAATTTAGATCATGGGATACTGCTAGATTTCTAGGTTGATATCCAATTTAAGGAATAAAAGATCTCTGACCCAGATGTCAGGCTGATTGACAAGCAGTAGTTCTCAGAATAAGACTACAGGCTGCACATTTCAAGTTTTGAAGAAATGTCATACCCTGTTCTTAATTCTTTCAGAGAATAAGCAATTTAAAATAAAGCAAGGCAGATTTGGATTAAATAATTGAAAAATCTACTAGTAATAAAATAAATTTAATACTGGAAGCAACAAAGTTCAGATAGAAATACAGAACTTTTCAGCTCAAAAGAACCTGAAAATATTCAGTTCCCTTCATGCTTCACTTTATCATGCAGTCTATGGCAATATATTGCATTTTGCAGACCATAATGTTCCAGTAAAAAGAAAAAGGAATATAATAGTTCTAAATTATCCCAAAAATGTATCTGTATATTATCTTTAACCATTTTTATTTAAATATGGACTTATGATAAATGAAAGCTGGCTTTTATAAATCCAAGCTTCTCTTATTCATTTCTATGGCTAGCCCAGTTAATTATATAAACTGAGTAGTTATTTGTTCAACTACATTTATATAACCCACCTATACCTTTGACAAGGGTAGGCAGCTTAATAAGGTACAATAGTAACAATAGATATTTTTATTTATCTGTTTTATTCATTAAACATGAAACTCAGTCAACTGAACTTTTAAAAATGTGTCACAAATATGATTGACTGGTGCAAATGGTTGATACGGGTTACTGCCAGCGTCTAGGTATCAACCAAGTATCTTCTTAAAATATATGATGTTCCGAGTAGCGCAGGTTTTTGCAGTTCCGCTGGTATTATTGCAGAAAGCTGCAATTTCTTGATGTATTTTGTAAAATTCTTGGACATGGTACCAAGTGCTCTGATGACAATGGGTATCACTGTTACATGTTTCATCTATATTGTTGTTGTTGTTATTGTTGTTGTTAAAAATATAAATTAAATAATAATTAATAATCTCTTTAAAAACCTTTATAAATCAATATGGATTTGGTTCCTCTTAAATAGGAAGAAAAAAGGGACCTCTTTCTTGTAGTGTAGAAGTTTATTTCATTATACATTGTGCACTAGGCTGGTAGTGCTTGATATGGTTGTAGACAGATGCCATGCTTTCAATTCACATGCTCCACAGGACAGTTTTCAAATGATTTAAAAAATAATAAAATAATAAATAACTTTATTGTCATTGTACGTGTATACACAGTATACCCATACAACGAAAATCACTTAACACCCAAAGACCAGGTCCAACACACATAACAATCTCCAAAACACCACATTTTTCATATTTCATATTTCATTTGGTTCATTAGCTGATCTAGTTTCTAAAATGGATTAATTTTAGTGCTAATGGGATATAGATTGAGATTATCTATCTATCTATCTATCTATCTATCTATCTATCTATCTATCTATCTATCCATCCATCCATCCATCCATCCATCCATCATCTATCGTCTGCCAATAATTTTGTTGCCTTCAGTTTCTGGAATTCAGATTAACTCTATGCACAGACTGAAAAAAAAAACATGGAGGTATTGTGGTTAGTGGATTCAAATATCATCTTTCCATACAAAGAATGGGTAGACACCCAGTCTACCAAACTATTTCCTCTATGGTGGACTTTTGTGTGTAATCCTTAAATTAGCTCTTCTAAAGCTGTACCTATTATGATAATATATATAAATAATTTTATTTACAAACTCCAAATACATTTCTAACTAATTCTGACCTGTTTACATTATTAAGATAGCCATTGTTTTAAAAAAATATGAATTTCATCTTACATTCTTTCATCAGCCCAAACCTACTTCTCAAACTTACTTCCAGTCTTAGTTGGCATTTGAAGGTAGAAATTTAATTAACGAACAAATGGTATTGTTATGCAGTACCTGTAGTCATATCATCATTAAAAATCTTGGCAAATTCAAATGAAGGTGAAACTGAGGCCCTCAAGTGCATAAAGTATGTAGTTTCAAGAAGTCCAGTGGCACTTTTGTTGTGTTTAATCAAACTGAACAAAGTAGATACTAGATCACAGTAGAATCTTTTGCTTAGCTTTCTGTAAAATACATGCAAACCTCAATGGACTGAATGCTAATTAATACAAGAAATTAGACTCTTTGACCCAAAGGAAATTTTGTATCATGTTCTACTTTCATTTACAAAGATATTTTTATGTAGGCTTTCAATGGATCCATCGTATAGTATAAAAGGAAAATGTGTGGTACTCCCAGAACAAAATAAGAAGAAATCAGGTTTAAGCATTGAGACTTTATAAGATTTGTTTTAATACAGTGAAACTCTTGCATGATTTATTTCCTTTTTTAAAATAAATTTAATTATTTTTTTTAAAGAGAATGTAAAAACTAATATAAACTAATACAGAATAAAGGAAACAAAGCAGAGAGAGGGGGGGAGAGGGAGAGGGAGAGGGAGAGGGAGAGGGAGAGGGAGAAATAAAGAAGAAACCCTAAAAAGAAATAGAAGCTTTCAATCTCCTTTGCAACAAATACAAGCAAAATCTCTTACTCTATGATTACAAAAGAAAGCTCACTTCTTTCCATTATCTAATCTTTTTCTAATCATTGAAACCACAAGTCATAAGTATATTTTTATTCTTTTTCATGTAAAAAGTCTATAAGAGGTTTTCAGTCAGCTATTAATATAGTCATTTTTATAATCAAGAAGCCACTGACGAAGAATATTTGTAGCTCAGGGGGAAACAAGGGATCTTTGGTGATCTCTGAGCTTTCTTGTTTTCTTGCAGATGTTTCATATCCAAACTAGGTAACTTTATTTATTTATTTATTTATTTATTTATTTATTTATTTATTTATTTATTTATTTATTTATTTATTGGTTCAATTTATATGCCGCCCTTCTCTGGAGACTCAGGGCGGCTTACAATGCTTTTAAGCAATAGCCTTCATACTTTTGTATATACCTGCTTAGTAGGGCTTTCGGCCCCCCACTAAGCGGTGTTCTTTTTTATACAAAGTCATCTTATTGCCCCCACAATCTGGGTCCTCATTTTACCTACCTCAGAAGGATGGAAGGCTGAGTCAACCTTGAGCCTGGTGAGATTTGAACTTGCAGTAATTGCATGCAGCTGGCAGCTAAGTGCTACTTAACAGCACTTTAGTCTGCTGCTCCACCAAGGCTCATCAGTGCTACTAAGCTGTTTTCTGTCAGTTTATATTCTGTTGGCTTGCCCTGTCAGTGTTGATGGTGTGGTCTTTCAGTGTTGAATCTTAGATTCAAAGTACCTTTATACATTCTAGGCCCGTGATGGCAAACCTATGTTATACATGCTGGAAGTGGCACACAGAGCCATCTCTCCGGGCATGCCAGCCATCGCCGGTTGCTCTTCCAGGTTCTGGCGTGCCAGCTGGCCTTCGTGCATGCGGGAGTCCAGAAACCAGAAGAGCAGCTCCCTGGTGCTCATGCTCATGCCAGGAAACTGAGCTT